AAAAATTTTCAAAAACAAATTTTATACTAAATATTAATTGAAAAACTTAGTGAAATATTAATTGATTGTCGACGGAAAATGTTAATTAAAAAATTCTTGCATTGTTGCCGCATATTGAAAAATGTAATTGAAAAATTTTTGAGGGTTGATAAATTTTAATTAATTATTGATCCCAATAAATTCAATAAATTCCAATAAATTTCATTTCTCACTTCCCTTTTAGAGTATGAAGTACTTCAACATGTCGCATATGATTTTGTTTGTTCAAACTTGAATATATATTACTAATCTTTCGAGATATTTATCTATTAAGCATTTCGTAGAAAAAAAATTAGTTTAGACAAGCTTGTTAACAAACAATTTGAGTTAAAAGCTTATACCCGATAAAATACAAAGCTGGCAATGAACTTGACGGGAATAAGTCGAATCCTTGACAGAAATGATCGACAATACTAGTTTCGAGTAGCCTATAGTCAATGAAGCTATACCCGCAATACAAACACAAACACACATGACATAAATACTTAGATATAGATATACATTAGGTGTTACGTATAGCTGAGTATATAAGTGTAGGCTATGCTGTTAAATCATTATCATACAATTTAATGACATAACATTATAAATAAAATAACAAAAGCATAAATACTATTGAAAATCAGTGCTTATATCACACAAGAGATTTTTTCGTCTCAATTGACATGCACGTTTATTTAAATATTAGATAATAAAAAAATTGTTTTTAGGAAATTTGTATTTTAATTTGAATATTTGAATAATAATGATAATAATAATAATTATAAATGTTGATTGTACATTAGCTAAAAGCTATTTACAATCTTATTATAGTTTTGTTTTACAATAATATTTTTTATGAGATACATAATCAGTTAATGGTAATAATAATTTGAATGTTTAAAACTATCTACATTATTTTTAATAAATTTTTTAAGCTTTATTCGAAAAATTTTTACTCTGTCTTCTTTTAATAACGCGTTCGGTGATTTATTGTACCGCAGTAATTCTTTATAAACAATTGTTTTCACGTTCGTTGATATTAATAATAATTTTGATGTTGATAATGATATTGATTTCTGGAATTTTTAATAGTAATAATCACTAATCACTATCGTACTTTTTGGATCTTTTAATCACACTGTTAAATATGTATATGCAATAATATTGATTTGACCTCGGTACAAGCTTCCTATATTTAGAATCGAACATTCAAGAACAAATTTAAAAGATTTAAAAGTTCAATAAAGTTTATTGTAATAAAAAGAGAGAAAAAAAATAGGAAGTATTATCCTGTAAATATTTCACAATTTTGTCGCCGCTTAATTTAAGGAGGTCCTTTCACCGCCAATGTAAAATAAAAAATATTAGATTATGAGTAAATTAAATTTTTTTCTAATAGTTGAAGTCCTTATTTATCTAATAGTGAGGTTTAAATTATACTTTACCGGACAAATTTTTGAAAAAATAAAATTTTTAAATGTTAGTATTTGTTCAGAGTCTTACGAGAAAGTCAGACGTTTGCAGTATTTCTCGAATTATACTATCAGTCATAGATTAGATGAAGTAAAAAAAAACTAAAAATTAGATTTTCAAAATATTCAGGTTTCTTTTTTTGCAATAAAATATATCAATTACCGAGATATTTATTGAGAAATTAATAATTAAAAATCACAAAAAATTCTCAAGCAACCTACGTTAAAATGGAGTCAAAAAATTTGGCAACGTTGCGTAGCGCGCGAGCTTCAGACCATTCAATAAATTCAAACTAATTTATTTATTTACACTGACTGCAAAAACTTAAACGTGTTTAAGGTTATATTGTGCAAATGAAAATGTAAACAACCGAAGTACAGCGTTGCCAAATTACGGACAGGTTACTAGCAGTTGATTTGAAAGAGTAAAATTAATTTTTGTATATTTAACTAATTTTTTTTTTATTTTTAAAATTTCAACGATTAATGCCTCATATACTAATTATTATTTAATTTTAGGAATTTTTATGGGTTTTTTTATTTTAATTTATCGTATATTGACTACTACAATTGTTTTGACTCAACTGGAGCGAAAGGATTTCCTTAACCTCCGGCTATCGATTGAATTTCATAATAAAAAAAAGGTTAACAGAAAAAATAAATAAAAAACCAGACACTGAAAGTTTTTCTCATATAATATTAACATGTAACGCTAGATTTTATACTTTCTGACTAACGCGTATCTATTCGCTATAATCCCAACCGCAATCTGATAAAAATAAATCGATATCATATTATCTGTTATACATACATATTTATACTAATGGACTCGCACCGCAAGATCAGTATCCCTCTGAGCGTGAATTAATTCAACTAGTTGAACAAAGTCTTATGCTTAATTGACGTGTACAATGTAACTACAAGTGTAATTATTTTTTAAATTATTATTTGAATAATAAATTTAAAAAAAAGAGGCTGAATATTTTTGCATTGTCCAGTAATTGTCGGGTTATAAAGAAGCTATAAATAAAATTGATTATAAAAGCCGGTGAATGATGGGCATGTCTGTGTTAATATAATTCAGACGCTTATAACAAGAGTAGTCCTTTTATTTATGTTGTATTTTTTTATTACAGACAGGCCTTTCATTTAATTCACTCCATTTAATACAGATTGAATCAACACTGGAAAAAAACTAGATGATTTAAGTACAATATTATCTTATAAATTTCACTCTTGCTTCGAGATTTTTTGTTCGGATTAATTCAAAAAATTAATTTATGAACAGAATCAAGAAAATAGAAAAAAAAAAAAAGAATGAAAATTAATTTTTAAAAGTTCATCATTTAACAATTTCACCAATTTCAACATCATATAGTTCCCTCATTAATTTATCCGCGAGATTTTCTCACATCAAAATTTTTCAGTAAAAATTTATCAAACATAAAAATTTCTCGTAACATAAATTTATTGCTGAGAAATTTTATCGCGCGAAATTATTGCACGAGAAATAAGTGACGGTTACCATGATTCAGAATGGGTCCCTGTAAATTTTTTTTTCGTATTTTGAATGAAGAAATTTTTTGTTGAATCAATATCAAATTTTTAACATGACACGAAATAATAGTTATTGTTCAAGAATAGATTTTTTAAAAGTCCAATTTAGTTGTATTTCATGAAGATATTATACCCTTGACCCTCAGATTTCGAAAATTTCACAAGAAAAAAAAAACCAGTTTCAGGACAAGAAATTATCATGTCAAGACGACAAACTCGCTTCAAAATATTTTGTTTGGATCAATTAGTTTTTTTCAGTGTAATCGGTTTCAAAGGAACATCTTCGGGGGAATAATCGGAATAGCTTTCTAGGAACTCAAAACGTGGACATCTGATGAGAACTTAATTTTCGAAAACCGGAATGAATTCAATAACTTCCCGATTTTTTGAAAATCCTTGATTTTCATAGCGGAAAATTAAAAATAAGGAAAATTTTGTGACGCGCATATCTTTATTATAAAATGTGTTCATATATAGTCGAATTTAGTACCATCGGAAAGGATACAACCTGAATTTATGTAAATTTCCACGGTTTGATATTTTTTAGTTGATAGTCAAATTATCATCTAAATAATTATTATGAGAATTAGAAAAATTTTGCGACAGGCAAAATTTTGTTGAAATCTATCTATAGCGTTTGTCGTCATGATGGAATTTTCAGCTAATTTTGCTATTACAAAAATACACATTTTGGATCAAGACATAACATTATATCTTATCATCAAGAAAGCGTCTATAATTCTTGACCAATGTTCGTAAAAATTTGGTGACGATATTATTTTTGATTGAGAAGAAATAGCTCATTTATGCGCAAGCTTTAGATTAAAGCTCATAAAATATTTTTCATTTGACTTGTGATACTATCATTTTTCAATTACTTTTAGCAATTTTATAGAGGTTAAAAGTTACTTTGAATCAATTTCAGGTAGGGTAAACGTGATGCAACTTATGAGTGGGACAGCACTCACAATTCTTGATCGATCTTCATAAAGAATGAATATACAGTATCAGTGATTGTGAATTAAATATAAGTTAAATAATTTATCTTATACTTACTACGAAATCTACTTTCCATAGGCTGAATGGCGTTTTTTTTATATTTTATAAGGGATTTTTATTGATAAATTTGGTATCATCAAAACGGCCTTTATTAAAATTTGCGCTTATTAACGATTTTAAATATTTTTTAGTAATAGTCAATTTATTATGGCAAGTTTTTGAAAGAGTTTTAAATAATTTGTTGGTTCTATAAGTTTGTGTTCGTCACATTCGTCCATTGAATAATTGATCCTGTGATAGCAATATTACTTTCAAAATTTATATAAAAACTATCCAAACTATGTATAATATAAAAAAATCATTAAGCCAAAATTTTAGTGTGTATAAATTTAACTATTCTTATGGAATTTTTGTTTATTTTAAAAATAATTTTCATTGTTAAATATTATTTTTTGAATTCATTTAAAAAGTACCAAAACTGTGTATATTGTGATTAAAAATATCGAAAAATTATTAAATCAAAGCTCATTTATTCATGACTTGTATTCCTCAGCTGTTACATTATAACAACAGGTTTTGAATTATTATTATTATTATTATTATTATTATTATTATTATTATTATTATTATTATTATTATTATTATTATTATTATCGTGTAATAATAACAAAAAAATAAATTATTGAATTAAGGCATCTAGCTTTAAAATTTTTTTTTTCAGTGGAGAAATAGTTGCAGCTTAACAACCCTTATTTAAAAAATAATATATCTTAAAATTAATTTATTTCTTGGATCTTATAATTGTAAATTAAAAATTAATAATTAAAAATAAAATTTCAGATCGAATGAACTCGAGTATCCTGAAAGAGGACGAAGAGGACGAAGAAGCAGCAGCGTTAGGAGCAGACTGGATCTACCGGTGACAAATTTTATGAGCAGGTGTAACTTGAGGTGATGGACAATGAGCAACCGCACCAGGAGCTGGTCAAGTGTGTCGTTGTGGGAGACACCGCTGTCGGAAAGACCAGGCTGATTTGCGCCCGTGCCTGCAACAAGCACGTGTCGCTATCGCAATTGCTGACCACCCACGTACCCACGGTCTGGGCCATCGACCAGTATCGAATTTACAAGGACGTAAGCCGCAAGAATGAATATAAATAACAAAACATTCTTGTACATAGACCTTAAACCTCCTTGACAACTATTTATTCCTTTTTGCTTCCTCTCCTGCCTGATACTAATATCATCAATAACAATAATAATAATAATAATAATAATAATAATCATGACAATATCCATTTACAATAACAGTAATAATAATGATGATTATATAGTCCTTGAAACATACACTATCTATTCCCAATATTTATTCGATTCAATAATTTGTGGCCGTCGCTCCACGAATTTCCTCGGCATTGGGCCTCGTGTTCCAGGTCCTTGAGCGTTCATGGGAGGTCGTTGACAATGTAAACGTATCACTCAGGCTATGGGATACCTTTGGAGATCATGAAAAGGATCGAAGATTTGCATATGGAAGGTCATTATATTTTATAATAATTATATGCATCCTCATATATATTCCATGTGTGTTCATATATCATCATATGTAACATACGAGGTCATAAAATCATTTTATACTTGAAGCTATAGAACTCAACCAAGCTCCATAAATGACTTTGTAGAAATAATAAAACTGTACAATTTCATTCATGATCATCTATGGTCACGTGTGATCATGATTACACACATGCACACATGATTCACAGGTGATCATATGTGATCATTGATCTCATATCATATATTTAAAGCAATAGTAGTCGATTTAGTTTTATATATGATCATATGTGAATATGTGTGACCTTACATACATAACTTTATATCTTAAAAGCCATAAGTAGTATTTTAAAAGTTCAGTCATGATTATAGATGATCATATGTGGTCATGATCACTCATGTTCATATATAATTTCATACATTAACATAATTCATTAACGTACTTCATACATAGTCTTCATATGTGATAACTGATAATATATGTTTGTATGCGATCTGATAGGTGGATATATGTTATTAATGTAACTTTATAGTGAAGTTATAGTATCGCAAAGTTTCAATCATGATCATACATGGTTATATGTGATCAATGATCATAAATCATTTTATTTTTAATGCAACAGTTGTCGATTAAACTTCTTATTTGTTTATTTATGATCACATATATTTATATGTGATCCCAATAAGTGAATATATATAATAATACATGACTCTATGTTGAAATATAATATCGTAAAGTTTGATTTATGATCTCATATGGCTATATGTGATCAACTGATCATGATCACATACGTTCATATACAATTTCATACATTAATTGATATTTAAAGCTATAGTAGCCTCCAGCTTTATTCATTGTCATATATGAGGTCATATATAATCAAATCAAATAGTATGTTCATATATGATTTAATATATGTGATCAGTGATCACATATGATCTTATGTGTCCTTATGTACTTTTTTATGTTACATAAAGCCTTACTTATAATCATATGAACTATCTCAGTTCATATTTAATGTCACGCCTGATCTTATGTGATAATATGGATAGATATAAAATGATTATTATCATAATAAATAACTAATTTAAATAAATGATATTTAAACTAGGTCAGACGTTGTTCTACTATGCTTCTCCATAACAAATCCTGTATCTTTACGGAATTGCAAGCGGATGTGGTATCCAGAGATCCGACGATTCTGCCCTCAGACTCCGGTCCTGCTGGTTGGTTGCAAAAACGACTTGAGATACATGTATCGTGACGAAACATATCTCAGCTACTTTCGTGATCGTAGTCCATTTGTAAGGTAAAATCATACTCTTTTCGTCTAAAAAATTTATCATTAATAACTATCAACAATTCAACAATAATTACTCTGAAAAAAAATTAACTTGATTCAAGAGAAAAATTTCTTCACTAAGAAAATCATTTTGAAAAGCTTCATTCTCTTGATTTAAGTAGAAAAATTCTTGAACTGAGAAATTTTTCTTCATTTAATTATATAACCAAGACTAAGTTCCAAAATAGTCCTTTATATACTGAATCAAGTTTTTTTTTAGTGTATTAATTATTAATTATTAATTACAGAGCAACGAGGAAGAGTGACCTAGTGATGCCGGATCAAGCACGAGCCGTGGCCCGGGAGCTGGGAGTCCACTATTACGAGGCAAGTGTCTTCACTTACTACGGAGTGAATGAAGTCTTCGAGAACTCGATCCGAGCGGCTCTGATAGCCCGTCGTCAGCAGCGATTCTGGATGACCAATCTGAAACGTGTCCAGCGGCCACTTCTCCAGGCTCCTTTCTGTCCGCCCAAACCAATACCACCAGAAGTAAATCTCGCACCCAGCACCTACGAAGAAAACATGAAGGCTCTCTGGATGCGACCTGTTCATACTGATGTCACGCTGATAGTCGGCAGCTGCACTTTTTCAGCTCATAGGTGTCTTTTGGCCGCTGCGTCTCCGGCTTTTCATAGGCTGTTTTCTATGGAACTTGCTCATGAACTTACTCCTAGGAGCTCCAGTGAAAGTAGTATGGTATGCAATTTTCTTTACTCGGTTTAAATAATTTATTATTATTATAATTTTTTTATTAGGTAATTAATAATAATTCTTGTTAACTTTTTTTTTTATATTATATTATTTCAGGTTAGCACTTTTGGAGAAGCTACTGTTGGTGACTTTAATGATGATACTGAATGTCTCATACGTAATGATCAAGTCAAACCAGCTAAGTAAGTTTTTTAAATTATTTTATTTATTTATGAAAAATTGAAAACTGAACTTTATAATAAAAACTTGATACTAAAAAAAAAAAAATAAAATAAAAATAATTATACTTCTTTTTATAAAAATTTTACTACATTTTCATTACAACTTTTTATTACATTTTTAGTTGATAATTTTTGACTTGACAGTTTAGAAAATTTTCTTAGATTTATAAATTTATCTTCAAATAAAAATTTATCAAACATTGAATTCTAATTTAATTATTTTTCTTATTTTAATTTGAAAAATTTTTCATTATTGTCTTTAATTTTTCCTCGATAATACTTATTGTTATATACTATTTTCGGTAATTAAGTTTAATTAAAAAAGAAATAAATTGAATTTGACTATTAATAATAAAAAATAATTCTGTAAATTGTATAAAATTTTACATATGCCTAACTATTTTCCAGTTTTATTTAAATAATAAATTAGAACAAAAAAAAATAAAATTATATGGTATTTAAAAAAAAATTTTTTTTTTTTTTAAATGAGTTAAGACTAAAAATAGTGCATTCACAGTTTTTTTTAATTTCTACTTACGTAATCTTGTTAAAATTTTTTTTTATAAATATTAAAAATATATTTTCTTAATTATTTCAATTTTATTATAATAAATTACCAAAAAATAATATTAAATAAATTTACAGAGTATGGGAACAATTAAAACGACGATCGAGTTTTCAAGTTTTGCCAACAATGGATCAAAGAAAACCAACAGGAGCATCTCGTGAATTAAACCATCCAGCTTTTCAAAACATCCGTATTAATCTTGTAAGAATTTAACTAAAGCTTTACCACTCAATTAAGTATCTACATAGACAAAGGCACAGAAATAAAACTAAATAATAATTCATACACATGGTACATAACTACCAAGAATTTCGTCGCGTGCGATTCGGCTAATTCAATGACAAGTTGCTCTACTTTAAATTAGATTTAACCATAGAAACATATCAACCCCAAGTGGTTGATCTGTGTTAATCTAGCTCTTCATAATCTTTATACGCATAGTTTTATTATTTCAGTTGAACACGCACGGTTAAACAACAGTTTTATTATAATTGCCGTCAATTATGTTGATTGCTGACTAAAAACATTGTTATCAACTCTAAAAATAACCGACTTAGAAAACTTTAATTGTAATACAATTATTATTTATTCACAATTTTATCTTATTTAATACTTTGTTTATTTGCAGACAGAAAATTCGAACGGTGTCCAACAACCGACAACAGTAGTTACACTTTCAAAATTGATAACGCCTCAATCAATGCAGCAATGTCTTCAATTTATCTACACTGGAAGCTTGGACAAGCGTTACCACGATCTGCAAGTAAGAAATTTACTATAATTAATGACACTGAAATAATTTTTTCTTTTTTTCTTAAATTAATAAATTCTCCTACTGTTTAAAAATAAATAATAAAAGTCAATAAAATTTTTGTAGCAAGTTTTAACCTGGTTAATCTTAAAACAATTAATCGGTTTTTCCATCCGCGTTAAATTTTTATTAACCCGATTATGTTCTTTCAGACAGCTCCAATCGGGTTGTTACTGGTTAGTAAAAATTAATTTTGTTATGAATCAAGTGCAAGGTGATTTGCATCAGCCATCAGAATCAGATTCGATCAAAACAAGCGTCATCCGAAGATATTAATATAATTAATAAATCAATTAATTATTTAGAAAAATAAAAAAACTTCTCTATTAATAATATCAATGGATATCAACTATCGACTCTTACTCGTTACTTAAGTTGTTAGTTATCAGATCACATTAGCATGCACTGCATCCGAGCTTACTCTTGGTTCTGTTAGATCTTTCCAGGACTCATCATCCATTATGGCAATAATTCCGTAGCGGATCCATTAACTTTAAACTAAGATAGATTTATAGGAGAATTGCTTGTATATAAATGTTTTTTTTTTTTAATCACCAATTTAATTGTTAATTGTGACAATAGTTAATGCTTTTGTCGTTTGTTTTGTCCCCAGGAAATTCGACAGGCCGCTGAGTTTCTTGAGCTCCCGCAATTGCTCATGGTACTTGGTAGCATTCAGGCAAGGTCCCAGTTCATGAACAGTGATTTAAATAATCAGTATAAGCAAGTTGTAAGACAAAGATTAGAAGATATTTGTTTAGAACAAGGTAATTTATTTAATCTATATAATTAAAGGAAGAAAGACATTTTTTTATTGTAATACAAGAAAATTAGTAAAAAAAAAAAAATCTACACTTGAAAATTGTAAAAAACAATAAATGCAATTTTTAGAAAATTATTTTTTTTAATCTAAAAGCGATTATTATAGTTAAATTGTGTATCATCAGAAAAATCTTGACCTGATTTGTGTTTTTTTATGACTATGTATTTTTTAGTGATAGTTAGTTTTTTATGACAAGTTCTTGGAGGAGTTTTGAATAACTTGTTGATTCTATAAATTTGTTCCGTGACATATTCCATAAAATAATTGGTAATTGATCCCGTGATATAGCAATATTATTCTTAAAATTTGTTTCAAAATTACTCAAGCTATCATCTATATTGTCATTAAAAATATTAAAAATCATTAAGTCAAATTTTTTTACTCAGAATTTTAGTTATACTTATTAAATTTTTGTTTTAGGTTTATTTGCTGACGTTATTTTTGAACTGGATGATGGAAATATGCCAGCGCACCGTGCAATTTTAACTACAAGATGTGATATGATGAAGGCCATGTTTTCGGGTGATTATCGTGAAAGTAGTGCTAAAGTTGTAAGTATAAATATTTATTATTTTTTCTTCTATAATAAGTGAAATTTTTTATAATAAATGAATAAAAATTTCAGATTGTTTTTCCCGGTGTTCGCGAATATACATTTCATAAATTTCTTTGTTACTTGTATACCGACCAAGTGCCACCGATATCATCAGCACGTTGTCTAAACCTGTTAGAGTTAGCAAACAGACTGTGCTTACCACGGCTGATAAACCTAGTTGAAAGTAGAGTAATTGAAGATCTAGAACGATTGTCTCAAAACGACGGAAATGAAGCTGTAGAAAGTTGTCTGAGATTACTAGAACCCTGTAAACTCCACAATGCTAATCAACTAGCCGATTGGTGTATGAACCATCTATGTGTTAATTATAATAAACTCTGCAAAATGTCACCAAGAAGTGTCCGGCTCTTGCATCCGGATAATCAAGAGTACTTGAATGAACATCGTTGGCCACCTGTTTGGTAATTAATTATTTAGATTATTCTTTACTAAAGAATTTTTAGTTATTTCAAGGTCCAGAATACTTCAAGCCAACAAATTAATAGTTAAAATTTTATTTTAAAGTCACATATTTATTTTCTTTAAGTTCATCAAAAATATAATTAAAAAAAAAATTTTTTTTATTTTAAATATCGATTTTCATGATACGGAAATTAGCAGACATCTGACAGTTCTTGAAATTTTTATAACCAATTAATTATTATAAAAAAAAATATTTAAAAAAATTCGCACTTATAACTTTTTGCTAAATTTTTTCACCAGTATTTGACTGTTATAAAAATCTAAAAAATTGTTAACTGCCTGTCAAATTCAATATCATCGATTTTTAATTTAAAAAAATACCTATTAATATATTAATTAAAAAAAAAAAACTTCGAAAAAATTTGTAAAACTATGAATGCACTTTCTTAAAAATATTTTTCAATAATAATTTAATAAATTAAAAAATTGTCATACACTTTCTGAATTCAGTATACTTTTTTATCTTAAAAAAAAAAAAAAAAAAAAACCAGTTGACCATGAAACTAAAAAATTACCCATAATTTTATGTTAACTTCAGTAAAACAATATTTTAATAATCATCTAATTTATAATTGCAGGTATTTAAAAGACTACGATTATTACCAAAAATGTCTAGCCGAACTGGACAAAGAAAACAAGCCGACGTTGAAACGTAATCGCAACCAGTCGGGTTGCCTCTGTTTTGCAGGGTCGAGCAAGACCTCGCGAAAAGAAGAAACTAATGGAAGATCGGGTGTCTCAAATGGAGACTCAAATGCAGAACGCCCGTTATTCGAACCATCCACGACAGAATCTGGTGAGGTTGTATGACATGAGCCCCGCGGCTCAGGCCGCTCGGTCAGATTTATTCTGATACCCGTGCTCATAATATTCATTTGCACTATTTTTACTATTTTGATACTGCTACAGATTTATACTTAATCGTGTAATTGTAATGTCGTATAATTATTAATTATAATTAAATATTAAATACGGTTAGTAGATAATAATAAGACACTAATTACGGGATGAATTTTTTTTTAATTACTGAATACATTTGTGAACGTGATTAAACTTTACAATAAATTTGTTAATTCCCGAGAAAAAACTAACTTTTAAAAATATTTAAAGTATAATTTTTTTTCTCTGCGTTAAAAATATGATTATATAAAAACATATTTTAATTAAACTAAGTGTTTAGTAATGCACAATAAACAGTAATTGTTTTTTTTTTTTTTTTTTTTTTTAAATTTACAAACCACTAAATATAATGAACTGTATAAAATCGTAAGAGTCCGAATAAAAAAAAATCACTACTATTATTATAATTATGATAATAATAATAATAATGCATTTCCGCTAATGATCTAGTCAAATGCTCCGAATTAAATGCAGATTTTAAAAATGATGTCCAACTATTATTTTTACCGCAATTTATAAAATACAATAGAAAGATAAATAAATAATAATAATAATAATAATAATACTAATTAATAGCGTAAAAAAAGGTTTGAAACTATGAACATTTGTTAGGAATTGTTGGCGTCCTCTTCCTTATTAAAGTGATCGACTAGGCTGGAACTATCGAGATAGTATATTATTCTCGATAATTAGATGAGACTGGGTAGTCAATATTTAATGATAAATGATAAAAGATAGTTGAATTAATTAAATTTAGCTTGTAATTTGATACATTAATAATTCTAAGTACATATTTTTTCATTATATTTTTAAATATATTTCCATAATTGATTAATAGTTTTTATTGCTTCCAAATTTTTATCAATTATTTATTGCAGCAAATTTTAGTCTAACAAGCATATCAGTCTCTAAAATTTAGTTTATTTTAAATTTTAATTATTGATAAATTAAAAATCACAATAAATCATATGAATTATTTTGAAAATAGAAAACAAAGTAAACAATTGAGTTGCTGGCAACGTCAATTTAAAAGTCAATCTAATTGTGGAGCGATCGTTTTTTTACGAAATAAAAATAATAATAATTATAACAAATTGATACAATAATAATAATACTAATTATTAAAAAAAAATTTGTTTGCTGAAACAATAAGTTTTTTTTAATTATTATTAAATATCTTTACACAGTCATATCATTGCCTGTATTTTATAATACAAAAATAAAATAAAATATTGAAAATCTTCTGAAAACAATGTATGTAAAGCTAAAATTTTTAACCAACCGTTAGACATTAATTAAATACAAAGCAATAAATTAGAACTTATGCATCTAAAAATTAATAATTAATAAATCAAACAAAATTCGCTGCGTAATATTTTGCACCTTTAACTATATCTATTAAATATATATTATTAAAATATTATTATTTAATTGTCCTATCGTATAAATCTTATATGATAATTGATAAATAATAAAATAAAAATTGTAAACAATAATAATTATAATTTTAAAAATAATTGACAATCTATAGCTTTACCATGACATTTTTTATACGTAACTTAAAATTGCACCTGATGTCACTTAATGACATTATTCATTAATCGTCATAACAATTTTAAAAATTTGAAGACAAGTAATGATTACTTATAACTTATTACAAAGTTATAACCAAGTGTGTAAATTTGTTTTTAAAATCCAGTTTTTTTTATGCAGGCAGTTATGATCTCAATTATTATTATATATTTAATTAAATTGTTTTTAACAGAGCGTTATCAAAACTGTAAACTTCCAAGTTTTATTTAATATAGTAATAAAAATAATTAAAACATTATTATTATTGTTGTTATTTTTACAGATGGTTGAAGATATCTTCCCGTGTAAAGAAAATCGTCTTAAAAGAGTCTTAAAAAAGTCGTTTGTTTAAGATCTTAAACGTGACATAAACCAAGACGTGATTCTTAAAAGACGCCAAAATAAAATTCCGAGAGCAAATTTTTGAAATTTGGCTCTCAAATTTGTTATTAAAATTAATTTTTAGATATTTTTTAGACGATTTTGCGAGTTTTTAACCGTAACATTTTTGAGTACGCTCTTTTTTAATTGAATTTGAAATTGAAAAATTATTATCCGACAATTTAAAGACTTATTTATGACGCTCTTGAGGATATAGCTACTGCTCTTTCTTTTGGTAGCTAAGGTGTTATTTTACCTTTCTTCTAGTTGTTGTCATTTGCTCTTCTTCTTTCGTTGGAACGCAAGTCTATGAGGACTTCTGTTGCAAATGTGCTGATGGCGTTCCAGGAGGCTCTTGATGACAACATTGCTTCTACTATTGTCTCTGGTTGGATTTTCTTTTTCAGGATCATCTCCAGCTCATCTCGCTGTGGATAAAATCGTGGGTACTCAAAGAAAACGTGCTCCGCGTCTTCATTGATTCCTGGGCAGGACGGGCACTCCGGTGAATCATCATGCTTGAAGCGGTGAAGATACGTCCGAAAACATCCATGTCCTGACAACATCAGGATAGTAATTGACCTCGCCATGACTCCGGTTTAGCCAAACGTCGATCTTCGGTATGAGACGGTGTGTCCATCTTCCTGTTGTCGCGGCGTCCCACTGCGATTGCCATCGTGCGATGCTGTACTGCCGTTCTTCAGCTCTGAGTTCCTCGGCACTTAGTGTGGTTGTCCTCTTTCGTTGGTAAAGGTTCCGTCTTTCCTCAGCTAGGACTCTGAGCGGCAAAGTTCCGGAAATGACACACACTGCTTCCTCTGATATTGTTCGGAAGGCGCTGGCTACTCTTAGCGCGCTCAGTCGGTAAACTGGACATGCTTTCCTCCATGATTCTTGGATCTCAAGTGCGTCAGCCCAAATGGATGTACCATATGTGAGGACCGATGTAACTACTGATGATAGCAATAACCTCCTTGTCTGCTTCGGGCCACCGATGTTGGGCATCAATCGTACTAGGTTAGCCACTACTGCTGATGCTTTGGCGGTCACGTGTTCAACTTGTTGTTTGAAGTTAAGTTGGGCATCGAGCATCACTCCCAGATATCGAGTGAATGGTTGGGATGTGATTTCTTGGTCTCCAACGTTTAGATTGATCGTTTCCACCACTTTTCTGCTAGTGATAAGTACAGCCTCGGTCTTCTGTTTAGCCAGTTGTAGGTTTACTGTGTCCATCCACTGGTTAATTCGCTCAAAGGTGATAGCGAACATATGATTTATCTCATCAAGATGCTTGGCGACGATTACTACGGCTACGTCGTCCGCGTACGCTACCAGTTTGAGATTTCTTGGTAGTTTCAGTCTCAGCAATCCATTGTACATGACATTCCAGAGAAGTGGACCGAGAACAGAACCCTGCGGTACGCCTCCAGTAACATCATATTCCTTTGGACCATTCTTCGTGTCATATCTCAGGACTCTATCTGTGAAGTAGCTAGCGACTATCCTTCGTAGGTATCCTGGTACGTTCATCTCTTGAAGGGCTTGCATGATGCAATCCCAGTTGGCGGAGTTGAAGGCATTTTTTATGTCTAAAGTTGCCACCAGGCAATATTTCCTCGTTCCCCCTCCCTTCCATCTGGTAGCGGCGATTGCGTCTTTGGCTATACCAACAACCAGGTTGATTGCGTCCAGGGTTGATCGTCCTTTCCGAAATCCGTACTGATTGTCTGCTAAGAGTGGATCGACGACTGCTTCTATCCTTTGGTGGATTATACGTTCTAGTATCTTACCGGCTGTATCCAGCAAGCAGAGTGAACGATAAGATGACGGTTCTTCCGGTGGCTTTTTCCCTTTAAGAAGTAGTACCAGTCGTTGTTGCTTCCACTTCCGAGGAAAAATCCCTTCCTTCAAGCAGATGTTGTAGACGTCGAGGAATAACGCTGGCGCTGCTTTAATAGATGTTTTCAAGGCAATATTAGGGATTCCGTCCAATCCCGGTGCTTTATTATTCCCGACGCGGTTACAAGCTTCCATCAGTTCTTCTTTCGTGACAGGTGGAATATCATTCAGTTCGTCCTGTGTCAACAGATAGTTGAAAACGCGCTGTCATAAAAACAGCGCAGTCACGATCTTCTGTAAGAGTTGAGGACACGTAGGAGACGGCATTGGCTGATATTTCAGGTGTGCCATGACTACCTTGTAAGGTCTACCCCACAAGTCTTTGTCCACCTCGTTGATTAGCTCTTTCCAGCAGTTCTTCTTGCTATCCTTGATGGCTTTGTTTAAATATCGACGAGCTTTCTTGTATTCTGCGACTAGTTCCGCCAAGTCAGGCCGCCGATAACCACGCAGAGATATTCTTCTTTTCTTGAGACACTCTTTCCGTAGGAAACTGATGTGGTCGTTCCACCAGTGCACCGAAGGTCTTTGGTTCATGCTCTGTTTACGGGGCATGTAGGTGTCGCAAGCCTGGGCCACTCTCTTCATCAAGTCCTTGGTCATTTCTTCTGCAGATCCAGTAGTAAGCGGTTCACTATTTAGGGCAGCTGCTAGTGGACTTGAGTCAAAGGATTTCACTTTCCACCCAACGATGTCAAGTTTCTTAGCCGGTCTCCTAGGATTATGGTCCTTTGATACCTCCCAGAGAATCGCGTTGTGATCGCTGGCCGTGTAGATCTCCATCACCTTCCAGTCGTAGTTTCCTCTGATGAGGCTGCTGCTGACAAAAATAAGATCCACAATAGAACAATACTACATCTAACGTAGAAAAAGCTTCCAGTAGTTCTTTACCTCGAGCGTTGGTGTGTTTGCTGCCCCAGTCCACTGCCCAGGCGTTGTCCCCAGCTATTGCCACTGGGTAGTACTGCTTCGCGTCCTGTCAGTCGATCCAGAAAGTCCATGAATTCAACAATAGTGAGGCTAGGTGGTGCGTAGCAGCTGTAAAAGCGGATGCCATC